AGTTCCTTGGGCTAGGCCTGACACAATCTCACTGCAGTAACCATATATTGAAATAATCTTCCATGACTCTTTTCTAACTGTGTATCCATCAGTCCTAAAAGAAAAAGTTCTGGCTTCCGTTGAATATTAATTTTTAAAATCCTCTGTATCAATATGTGTATTTGAATCCCAAATGTTTTAGCTTTTTTTACATGTCCACCAAGCAGGTGGTCAGTAGTTCTAGAGGGTGCCAGATTTAAAGGAGGTGTCTGAGTCAAGCTCCCCAATCTTGGAGGCAAAGGATCTATACCATCCACATATTTTGACTTCCATGGGCTCCCGGTATTGAATTCGTCTTTTCTCCTTAGTGCCACCATCTACACCAGTCTGTAAAGGGACCACTTCTGCTTCTGTTGGGTCGGATGTCACTTTCTCCTGCAGTTCTTCTGAAGGTGTGCCTCCCCCAATTTATTCCTGGATTCAGCAGGATGCCAAACAGCCACTTCCTCCTTCCAACATGGTGCAAAGTAGGTGAAGGGCAGTCTTCCTTGATAAAGGTCATGCCAAAGCAGAGGGAAGGGTGGTGCATGTATGTAAAACAAGTACACTAATATAATAGCAGCAGGGGACAGGAAGACTGCCTGAGAACTTGTTTTGTGTTTAACAAAGGCTTACTTGCTATATGAATATAAATATAGTTGATAAGCTAGTCAAAAATAAGGGGAAAAGTTGCTACTCCAGTCCAGTGTTTGTTGAGAATTTCCTTCAGTATCTTGAGAAGACCAATTTGAAAATACGCCTTCAAGAACAGCTTTTTCGAACCTTATACTCCCCAGATGTGTTGGAACTACAAGACTCAAAGACTACAACATTCTGAAAGAATTATTATTCCATAACTGATCTTCCACTTATGGAATAATTTCTCCCTTAATAACATCATGGGGAAGATTAATATGTTAATGTTATTACGGGTAACATTATTCCATAAGGGGATGATTATTCCATAATTTATCTTATCTGCTTCCACATCTTCTACCTGTTTTGGAAGCTTCTTTTGGTCAAAAACCTGGAGCCACTGTGTTAAAAGTAAAGAAGAAAACAGGTTCCTCCCACTGTTTGCTTAAAATGATTTTTCCCAATCAAGTGCTCTTCAGATCTGTGGAACTAAAGCTGTTATTGTCCTCAGACAGCGTAGCCCAGAGCCATGCAGGATAATAGGAGTTCAACACATGTGAGAAGCACCAGATTGGAAAGACATAGGAAAGCTGAGAGTAGAAACCAAAATATAGGTTTGGGGAAGTGATGTAGATTGACTATCCAGGTTGAGCCCGTGGGCCCCAGCTGACTACCATGTATCAGAAAAGGCAGTAACTCAGTTGTAGATCCTATGTTTTCAATGCAGGAAATCCCCACTTTAATCTTGGAGTCCCAAGTGAAACTGGAAAAACTGGACTTCATTTTGCCTGAAGTCCTGCAAAATGTTGCAGTCACTAACATTAGGTTAAATTAGGCTAACAGTCCTGGTTTTCTATAAATAAGTTCTGCTGGATTCACCTGAGGCTGTGAACTGACTCAGTGATGCAACTGGAGCAGGACTTTGGGACAAAACACAATCTCAAAATCAACTGTTTTGGGGTGGGAACAATCTCTGATCAGTTCTTGAAGTGGCTTTGGTTCTACCAGATTATCACACATGCCACATAGTTGAGATCTTTGCTGGAAGGTGGGGTGGAGAGCTGTGGGGCCATGATTTTATCTCCCTCCCTTCATTCTTCTGTGCCCAAATGATGTCATCTCTGGAGATCGTCTGTTCCAGTTAATCTTAAAGGGATGCAAATATTTTATGCTTTCATTGAGATGGTCTCCATTTTGCACAACCAAGAACTATGTAACATCCATCGGGGTAACAACATCGGGGAGTTGGATCCAGATGTTTTCATTGTATACTGAAAACATGCCTAAACTTGCCTAAAGTTCCAATGCTTCTCCATCTCCCCGAGGAAAAGCAGAAGCTAAGCACTTACTTTCTTAGGAGTCCTTGGTGCTCTCTGAGCTTGGTTGTTTGCTTGCAGACATTTCATTACCTAACTAGGTAACATCATCAATGCTAGTGAGTGTGGGGTTTGCTGCCTGTTGGCATTCAAGACAAATCAGTCATCAGTAGACACATAGAAATAAACCATATTTACACACCATTCAAAAGGGACAACAAAAAGCTAAGAAGGAAACAAAAAGACCAGCACACATTTCCTCCAGCAGCCAACACCCAGTTAAGCAGGGATTAACACCAGACAAACATCAAGCAGAAAACAAAACCCTAATCAAGGAGCTACCGAGGAGAAAACCACACCTCCACCAACACTGGCAGCACAAGCTACTGTATATAAACAGGGAGCAAACCCCACACTCACTAGCACTGATGATGTTACCTAGTCAAGGAATGAAACATCTGCAGAGCACCAAGGACTCCACAGTTCAACCTTGAGCTACAGATATTCTCTTCTGTTGGAAGTTACTTTCTTATTCCATTTTGCTTTCATTTCCCCAGACCAAGAAAAGGGAACGCTCATATTGACCAACCTCACACTTCAATTCTCTGGTACCTATATCTGCACGGCCTCCAATGAGTTTGGACACCATAGTTGCCAAATATCTCTCCATGTGACAGGTGAGGACATGTCAGTACACCAAGGAATTCTTTTTGTTAATCTTTCTGAGTACCTAATTATTGTAAGGATCCTTTTCTGTATTACTTGTGTTCACACAAGATGTTTACCCAGCTCACTTAGAAACTTAGCAGCTGGTATTTGCACATCTTATTAAGTTTTGATAGTTTTAACCTTGGTTTTGTTTCTGTGAATGATTCAATGCATTTTTTCAGAAAATGGGTTAATTTAGTAACCAGGCTAGGAAAGTTGTGTGAATGGATGCACTGAGTGAACAGTTGACTTCAGTTGTCCTAAAAGATTTGGAATTCTTCTTCAGATTTTGGACAGTGACACCATCTGTAGTCAGACACTGAGCATCAGGTACATCAATAGCTCTGGTTATTATAAAGTAGAAGCGGATAAGCTTTTGGTGGCCAAGTTAAAGATTTGGTGGGAAATAAGGGCAGTTGGGGTGAAAGGATCATTGATCCAGAAGAGGCTATGATGCTCTTTTTGATGCTCAGATTTAGGATTCCTCCACCTCTGACTATTTTGATGGAGCTAAGCCTATTTTAGAGGCCAGGCTGCAACTTGACATCTGCACTCTTCTTCAGGATCAAAAGTTTTGGGGAACAGGAAATAATGTTGACTCATGTCGAGCTGTGTGTTATTTACCTCCATTATAAAAGAATGTTCTTCAAATATGCTACTTTTATTTTACCTTGGATGCATCCAAGGACTAATTCTTGAAGTTTCCATGTAGAAAGGATTTCTACTGAATGAACTCACCAAATGGTGTGCTGCTTAAAGCCATCTCCCCCGCCATCCACAGCATGATATCCTGACTCAGAGACAGAGTTTTTGAAGCTGGGATTAGAAGTCTTCATCTTTCTCCTTTCTGCTCTGAACTCACAAGGCAACTGTAGGCGAGCCCTGTATTCTATGTACACCACGGGAATCAATGCATTGACCTATTTTGCAAGGTTATTGCAAGGAGCATGATATCAAGGATATTCTGGGAAGTCATCTGGGTGTTCTAAAGAGCCCTGCATTAAAATAGGAGGCCATGCAGTGGAGCAAGACTGTATTTTCTCATTGGTCAGGCTTTCTGACTGGGAAAGTTTTCCAACCTGTGCTCCTTAGAAAAGACACAGCCAGAAGGGAAAACATCAGAGCAGAATTACTTGTGTGAGATCAAACCAAATGTCTTACTTCTGAAGGCTTAATGGAAAAGTTGGGCCATTCTTATGACTGCACTTTCAGGCAGGGTCCATAACTCTATCGGGGGACCTTGACATCTTATTTCTATGAGGGGCAAAGAATGTAAAACATATATACACCAAAAATATGGAGATATATACAATATGTAAAAAGAACCCTAGAACTATCATTATATACAGAGGATGCGCTTGTTAATGTTTTTTATGACACCCAAAAGCTGCACAGGCAAAACAGTAATAGTGTTCTGTTCATGGACAAGGGTAAGATTTTCTTCCTTTTTTCCCTGGGTTTTTGCAGTAGAGCTGGCAGTTTTCTTTCTTTCTTTTTTTAATGGTGGCCTACTCCAGGCTTTCACTAGCATTTGGGTGGGTTTCCTGTTTCAAAATGGGGGAAAACTGAAATTCAGCAATAGAATCAGACAGCATTGCAAAACAAGGCACAAATCAGGAGTCAGCATGTGGTCTTGCAGCTGTAGCTTACTCATCCCTGATTTAGGGAATGCCATTTTTGATTCTGGAGTGGCATTCATCAGAATAAATATTCCCTAGGTTGTCCTGTTCTTGAATTCCTCTAGTCCTCTTTTCCAATTCATCTAGATTGGTGATCATCATCAGCTCATCTTTGTGGCAGCGAATGCCCCAGCCCAATTAAAGAGTGTGAAGCGGAATGATCCTCAGGGAGGTCAGTCAAGATCACATAAAGGAAGTGGTAGGGATATAGGTACAGAGAAGTTCATGGGAGCAAGTTCTGTCTCCTTCTGGCTCTTCAGGATGGAAGGGTATGAGAAAAAGATGGATCAAAATGTCCTTAAATAGCATAAAAGCAGGGACACTGGGTTCTTGAATAGTTTCTTTGTTAGCAGTTCTCAACTGTCCATTCAGGGCATCCCAAATACACTGGCTTCCAACGTGATAGCTCAAAACAAAGTATGATTATAAGGAAAGTATACCCCCTTACCTACCCCTCCAGCAATAAAAAATACTGTGTCTAGGCTGCACAAATACAGATAGCCACTAGATAGCAGCAAAGAGCTGGAGCTTTCTGTATCACTTTACTGCCATTTAGTGGTGGTTTAGATGTCTGCAGACAAGTCTGGTAGCCATGACCCACCAAGAATGAAAAAGCTTAAAGGATAACAGAGATTACCACTCTCCATACTTTAAAAGAAGTCCTGGTCTTTGGATCCTATTCATTAAGCCATTGACTAGATGACTCACTCAATTTGCACAGAAATTCCCACCATCTTAGGCAAATCTCTATGAGTTTATAGTGCCACCTAGTGATGCTCTCTATGCTTTTTTGCTCAGAATTTCTGGGCAGACAGACACGCTACCGACCAAATGGTGAGTGAAAATTACTCACCGTTTTTATTTTCTAAGTACGTTCTGGAGACATTCAGGTGGGTTCAGAGGCATTCTTGTAAATAAGGACAATGCTACAAGCTGGAAATCCGCTTTGCTTCATACTATGTCCCTGTTATTATTTTTTTCAGTGAAAAGAATCTTGAAAATCAAAGTAAGTCAGGTCGGAAAAGGATCATGGTGGGCCCCTGTGGCAGTGTCCATGGCTTTCTGGATACTCCATCTGAACTGCCCCTCTCCCTCCTCCCCCAGTTTTTTTATACTCTCAGCAAAAGTGCTAACTGATTAAACTTTTCATGCACGGAACCAATTCAGGTTGCAGTGAAGGCTGTAGGAAGGATGGTGCCATGTTTAAATATTCCATGGGGAAGAGAATAAGATTTTACTGATCTTTGGCATGCTAGCTTTCTGTTGGCGTGCTGTCATAAAGCAGCTTTCAAACCGGTAGCTTTCTTCCCCCTTCCTACAACCTCATGACAAGAAAGGTTTTACCATTGGGTTCCATTGACTGCATGGATTGGCCTCCATAAACAGGCTGGACCCCTTCAGATGTATCAGGCAGGGAATGAGGATCACCTGTAACCATTTGCTTTGCTAGAATGGGAACAACATGGGGAGAAATCCCTACAGCACACCAGTTAGCGTGCATCCCAATTAATGTGGAATACGTTCAAGGGCATTTTTAAAATGAAGCTCTGCTTCTCCTGTTCCTTTTACAAAATGGCTTGCAGTATCTGTCACTTTCACTTTTCAAGAACTCCTATGAAAGAGCTGCTTGGTTCCCAACTGATCGGGTTGGGACCTCTCTGTGCTCCATCTCTTTCGCTCATGAGGTTGGACATTCCAGTAATATTTCTGCTCCTTCTGCAAGAGAATTCTGGGCCCAGAGCCAGTTCTCATTCATCCCTGGACATCGTGAGCACTCGATCATATTTTGAGCTCGGTGAATTGTTGCCGCAGTGCTGAAGGACATCGTCACTGTGGATGGGGAAGAGTGAAGTGGTGTCCTTAGAAGAGTGCAAAAGAAGCTTTTCTGCATGATGACAACTGTCCCTCCCTCATTAGTCACGGCCCATTTCTTGCATTCCTTGCAGTTGCCTCTCTGATGCTGTGCTTCTTATAGTACGCGTGTAGGAAGTATTATATTTTCCTTTTTGGTGTTTTGTTTTATGTATCTATTTGTTTATGTGGTTGATATCCTGCCTGCACTTTAGGTGCACAAGGCAGCTTTCGCAGCGCTCTCAACTTCTACTTTTCCCATTACTCTGTTAGGTAGGTTGGGCTTAAACAGAATGACTAACCTAAAGTCACCAAGTCAGGTTTCATAACCTAGGGTGGACTAGCACCTATTTCTCTCCACTCCTAGATCAATACCTGCACCACCACACCTCTGTGGCTTTCATGTTCTTGTGTATAAGGAAATGTGATCTTACTCTATGTAAGAAAACGAACGTTCCCACTGTTATCAATAGGTATGAAGTTATGAGTGTGCTAGGGCAGGGACCGAGTGGTTATCAACAGTAGCGCAATTAACATGGGGTGACACAACTTTCTCCCTCATGTCCATGTGATTTTGTGAAATCACACAGTGTTTGTGTATGGCAGTATGATTGCTGTGCCTTCCCCAACCTGGTGCCCTCCAGGTATATCGAAGACAACTTTGATCAACACTCTTTGACCCCAACTCTTCTGAACTTTGGGGAAAGCTGATTTAGGTAATCTATCCATCCCAAAGAAGATACTTTGATTTTTCTTTTGGTGTATTTTCAGATAAATGATTCTGAGTATGGTTCAACAATGTGTGCATATCTGAACAGAGGGGGAGGGAAGATAACCTAGATTTCAAAAAGTTACTTATACGATGGACTGAGTTATTCAATGGGATAATGTTTGCAGGAGCCAAATTTGTTTGAAGAGGAGAACTAATAGATCTGGCTCCAACTTTTTGCCTTGCTTTGTCATTTAGACCAGGACTATCCCTGTGTGAGAGATGGTGGGGAGGCTGGGAAAGGAAGGGAAGAAAACAGCGACATAGTGTAAACCAGTGTTTTCAAACTTGGCAACTTTAAGATGTGTGGACTTCATTTCCCAGCATGCTGGCTGGGAAATTCTGGGAGTTAAAGCCCATACATCTTAAAGTTGCCAAGCTTGAAAAAACACTGCTGTAAACAATCCAGGGTGAGTGGATGTGCCAGTTGAGAGCTTATCTCATAAATGACAACTTAGCCCAGATGATAAGAAATCTGGGAAGAAGCATTTCAAAGCATTCCAAGAGAATCCACCTTTATTAGCTCATGATAAGTGAAGCTGGGAAATTGTTATTTCTAAGATCCTCTATTTAGTTTGGACTAGCATTAAAGAAATCATACTGAACACTATGTAGTTCTTGCTTCCTGGGTCTGGCCAGCTATATAGGATTTGATGCACTGGATCAAAAAAGTCCTGAAAGATTTCTAGAGTGGACATTTTATATCATCATGAGGTGAGAATGCATCAGTTCCCACCTATATGGGAATAGGAGCTGAACCCTAATCTATGAAGTAGAGGTGGAGGAAGACTGCTATCACTACTACTACTAGGAAAAGGAGAACAAGAAGGAGGAGAAATGCTGCTGCTACTACTACTGGGGGAGAAGGAGAAGGAGAAGGAGAAGGAGGAGGAGGACTGCTACTACTACTAGGAGAAGAAGGAGAAGGAGAAGGAGAAGGAGAAGGAGAAGGAGAAGGAGAAGGAGAAGGAGAAGGAGGAAGAGAAGGAGGATTGCTACTACTACTAGAAAAAGGAGGAGGAGAAGGAGGACTGCTGCTACTGTTGAATTGGACTTTTCTAGTGCCAGAAAATATTCTGGAGTCAAATCATTGTCCATTCAAGCTCCGTTCTCTGATCACTATTTCAATCTTCAAATTCTGCCTGAACGACTCATATCCCGTTTTTCTAACTTGCCTCCCACTAAGGTCAGTTCCTCTCATTTAATTAGCTCTCATTTCCGTGGACAGCTCCCCCACTCACAAGCTTTGCTTCTTAGCTGAACAGCGACTGGAAGGAGAAATTAGAAGCATTGGTAAATGTTTGGGAGGTGGAACACTCAGGTTGCAGAAGGGAGAGAGATGTAAAGAAGGGAGTAATATGAAAACCAAGTATTCATTTCAAGCAAAAGTCTCTGTTACAGTTTGTTTTTCAAAGGTGTGTTTTAGGACTTGGAAGAATCTTAAGGGATAAAGTGGGGGGAAAATTCTCTGATGATGTGAGAGAATAAAGTTAAATTGGAGTATATAATTATAGCTTTTCTTCTGGGAAAAAAAAAAGCATTTCACCTTGGTTCCTGACAACACAATTTCAAGTTTGTAAAGTAATGACAACTCTGGTGGGAGGCAGCTTAAATTGGGAACTAGCATAGGGAAAGGATGAAGACACATATCTGCACATGTGCACACACACACACAGACACACACATGCACGAAATGTACCCCTACCTTCTACTGCTACTTTTAGGTTTAGGATGGAAGCAATTGTGTTCACATATCCCCTGTATCACACCAGATAGGCCTTGATCTCTGTGCATTCAGTCTTGACTTAACTCATGCTCAGGAGAGATTTATTAACTTACGTATCAAATTTTAGACCTACTCAGCCAACCGGCCATAAACAGTGAAGAGGAGCAAGAGATGACCACCAGTGCAACAATAAAAATCAATGGGATATCACTGGCTTCCCAGGATCTTCCAAGCTTGGTCATGAACCTAAACATGTGGGCTATGTTGGAAGCTCAGTAACATAAAACTACATCCTGAAAAGAGTTTGGTGTCCCAGGAAAAAAAGGTTGATTGGAAGTTGATATGTAGTTTGTGTTGCTAATAAGAAATCCATTTTGGGTCCCAACATTTTTCTACCCCAAGGACAATGGAATGAATCCCAGCACATGCTATCATTTTTGAAACAGGTTCCATATCAAAATTGCCAGCCATGGTGGACCAGAGGAAGGTGCCCAGCCTATTCTTAGACATGTTAATTTCCTCTATATAGGACTGTTTATTTAATTTCATGGAGTAACATTCCTAATATGGGGGTGCAGAAATAGGCTTTGCTAGGTGATTTCTGATCGTCAAGCAGCCACTGAAAGCAAGAAGAACCTTGTCAGCAAAAATAATTCCAGGTGCAGGAAAAACATGGTTATGTTTACATCTTGACATCAAACTGGAAATAAAATGAGCCATCGTGTGTTTTATTCCAAAATAAGTTTCTAGATTGAGATTTGCTTTTCACAACTTTAAGTGCAACCTGTTTTAACTACAGGGTTTCCCTTATGTAGCATCTGGAGGTTGTGTTGGTGTAAGATGCAGTGGCTAAGCTGCTGCCATGTGCAAGGTTCAGTGATTACACAAAACCTTTACTGAAAGATGTCCACTGGCTACCAATTGCCAAGTGGGCACAATTCAAGGTGTTGGTGCTATCTTTAAAGGCCCTGAATGGTTTAAGGCCTGCTTCTGTTTCTCCAAGTATTGATCTACCAGTTATTTAGATCAGCAGGAGAAATCTTTTAGTAGATTGGTACCACTGCCAAAAACTTGGTTTACTGTAAGTGGAAGGGTCTTCTCCTATGTGACATCTAAGCTATGTAATGTTCAGATCAGAGAGTTGCGTTTGGTCCCCACATCCCCAGTAACAGGAAAATGTAAACCCACATCCTGATTGCCAGGCTTCTAATGATCACCTGATGCTGATTTTAATATGGATCTTGATTTTCATTATATTGGTTTTACTGGCATGTTTTTATACTTTGCATACTGGGTGATTCTTGTAGGCCACCTGGAGTACTTATATAAGCAGAAAAGTGAGGTATACATTTTCTTAATAAAAATGCATTTCACTTCTGTTAGATTATGGCAGAGGAAAAGCTATGGGAAGTGGAGAAAGTGAGATCCTTACTTTGCTCGTGCTGCAAATACATTTTTGAAGATGAATGGCTTATAAAAGCAAAGCAGTTTGGAAATGCCATATGGCGTGAAGCAATATTTTAAGCATCTATACTGATTTCATGTGGTGGAGAATATATAAGAAAGATCGTTCTAGTAGAAGTGGGAAAAATAGAGAACAGCACCTAAAATAGACACAGACGAAACTTATTATGTGAGAACAGCATTTAAAAATTCAGATCTCTTTCTTGGATTGATGTATAAGACTGAGTTTGTGGGCCTTCAGTGAAATTTAAAGGGGTGGGGGAGTTGAAATTGCCATGTGAAGCTATCTGCTACCAGATGCAAAACAACAGCAACACATTAATACACCTGAACTTAAAGCAACTGAAATAAGATAGGATTATCCAACATTTCTTATCCCATGGTTGTCTTTTAAAATGAGCAGGTTAACTCCTAATCATCTAAGAGTAAAAATTGGGTCTCGATAGTTGCTTTCAATGCATTGGAATCTGTTTGTTCATTTATGGAATTTATAAGGTTGCCCCACTGACAAATTGTGACTCTGGGTGGTGTATCTTGATAAAAAAAATCTAAAATGATAACATCAAAAATAAATGCAAAATGGCCCAGTGTAACCAGTCACAATAAATGCACAAACGCATAGCCAAGGCTGAATATAACAAACACTCATTCTCACAACCGAACAGGCTCATCTAACATCTCAATGCAATGCATGGAAGAAGAGTCGGAAAGCTATCTCAGTTGCAGGAAATATAGTATCTAAAAACATGATTTAAAAAGAGATTCCCGAGCCCTTTAAAAGTTCATTGACAAGCATGCTAGAAGCAAAGAGCAAACTTGTACTAAAGAATTAGCTAGAACAATGCCAACATCACTTTCTCTTATAGCTCTACAGGTTCAAGGGCAAGATGTCTCCTTTCTTAAAATAAAAGCTAAGCATTCAAGCCCTAACAGGAGTAAGGAACCTATTCTTCCAAATGCCCTCCAACTTCAAATCCCCAAAGCTTGAAATGAGGACTCTGGGACCTGCCCTTCAGCAACATCTGGAGTGTCCTGATTTCCCACCCTTGGAGGCTGGTGTCCTCCCCCGGCAGCCCAGCTCCATCTGACCCAGGTGCTTCTATTGTCCAGAAGTGCTTACTGGGAGAAGGTGGAGGTGGGGGGCATATTTAGATGTTAAATGTGGTATTGAAAAATGCAAAGAATATGCAATTGTGCTTGTAGACTTGTAGGAGGGCACTTTCCAGTCTGGAGCGTGCAACTGAAGGACCATTGAAGTGATCAAAACGAACTCCCTCCTTAGTTTAAGAATCCAAATTAGCAAAAGCTGTTTATCATTGGCTACTTGATAATATCCAATGAAAAGAAACTTACTCCCTCTCTGGATCACTGGTTATGCTCTTGAAGTTATCTTATTGTTAGGACATCTTTTCCTAATTCAGCTATAATTAGTGGTGTATTTGGATACAGTACAAAATCAGTTTAGCTTCTTCCTTTCAAAAATAAATTGGTGAGAAAAGATTCCTATAAAGGGGAATGAACCTTACTTAACAGAATGTGATACGTACATTGTCTGCCTGCCTGCCTGCCTGCCTGCCTGCCTGCCTGCCTTCCTGCCTTCCTTCCTTCCTTCCTTCCTTCCTTCCTTCCTTCCTTCCTTCCTTCCTTCCTGCTTTTTTGTCATAGGAAGTAGAATTTATGGAAAGTTATTTAACCTACATTGCATTTCTGCCCTTGTACAACTGCAGTAAAAAGAAAAAAAGGATGGCAAAACTCCCCCTTTTTTTTGCACTTTCTACACCCTGAGACATTTTCATGTCCGTGTTAGAGTTTCAAAGTCTAACCTCAATGGATGATTTGTCTTCTCTGTGTCTTGTTCAATAGGCATTGGGAAAGCTGGAGCTGTTGCAGGTGCTCTCATTGGGGCCATTCTAGCTCTATTCCTGCTTGGGGCCATTGTCCTCTACATTTTGCACTACAGGAAGAATAAGACGGCTAAGAAGCCTCAGTCCGAATACAGTGGAAATGAAATAAGGTTAGAACTGCTGTGAAAGTCACCCTGGCTTTACTCCTTTTGGTCCATCAGTTTTTATTATTGGTACCCTACCTTGCAATCTATAGGATCCTCAAGGCTTCTGGGGAAATACATGCTGTAAAGGGCCCTTGGTCAATGGGTTTGAAGTGTGTGAGTTCAGAAGACAACAGAATAGAATTAGCTTCCTTTTTATACCACAAAAAGCGTTCAAGATGTGCTTTGGTAATTTTACATGGAATTCATCAGGGAAAGGAATGAAGGAGACTCTCTTTCCTGATTCCTAAGTGCAGCCACTTCTATTGATTCCTAAAAGAAAGCAAATTGATTAGCCACATGTAAGCCAGACAATTACTAGTCCTTTCATCCTAGGAACTTTCCTCCCATCTTTAAAAGCTTTTTTATTTAACTAATTTGGTTTTTTCAAGGAACAAGTCATGGAGCCGACAGTAGGTAGTTCTGGATCTACTGTACACCTCTTGGTTGTACATAGGATATCAGGAGGTTTTCTGACTCCAGATGGTTTAACCCAAAGAATAAAACCAACAGTACAACTTCATTCCCCTTAACCCTAAACGCAACATGTCTTCTGAGTGAAGCTGAACTCCTGGTGACTCCATGGAACGCCCATGGACCTTTTGTTAGGAAGAGTTTGGGACTGGTTTGCTCTTGCCTGCTGTAGGATGTTTCCTCAACTTCCTAGCCTGATAGTTTCCCATCCAGGCACTAATCAGCCAGTTTAGTTTCCAAGCCAAAATTAAACATGTTTTAGTAGAACAATAAACAAAGTTTGTTCCACATGAGGCTTTTGTTGTACAACCTGCCACAAATCCTCCTGTCTATTCTTATCACTTCCTCCATCATTTTTCCCCTAAACAAAGTCTGCAAAGGGAAAAAAGATGGAGCTCTTGCATGACAGCTTTAATTTAGAGGCTAAAGAAGGCTCCCATGTGGCAGTTCCTTCAGTCTCTCTTGGAGTGCATGGAGAACAACCTCCCAGCTGTGCATATGTTGCAACTCAGATCATCCCATCCTGCCATGTCTGTCTTCCTGAGACCCTACCTTGTGTTGGCCTTCAGTAGATGAACTCACTGGTCAATGGGAAAAAGACAATGAGGTCTTACAAACCTAAAATCTACTCAACTTCAGATAAATCTGAATGAGGGGAACCAGAGCTGGGATCCTGCATCTTCTTAATATGTCATGATGAAGGGGCACAAAGCAGGCTTTAAATTTCTCTTTTGTATATGGGATGAAGCAGCATGCTTATGCCCTGCTTGCTCTGCTTTGGGCAACAATATGTCTGGGCCTCTGAATTTTTCTGCCAGTTTCTTGAGACAAGGCATGGTGGCAGTATCTGTGAAGAACATTTCTATCAGCAGATCAGGAGAAAGTATGGAGAGTGGTGTAAAGTGATCTCAGATGAATTATGGACTACAAAGAGTTGGAAGCCAACCAATCAGTATTTAAAGCTAACCATATCACTTAAAAACTGTTGAAAATCAGAGCAACTTCTTGGAAGATTAAAACCTAAACTACTGGATGTCATTTAATTTAATTTAATTTAATTTTCTTTCTCTTTCTTCCTTTCTTCTTTCTTCTTTCTTCTTTCTTCTTTCTTCTTTCTTCTTTCTTCTTTCTCTTTCCCTAA